GAGTTGAAGGAGAGGTCGGCAGCCCAGAGGCCTGCCCTGGTGCCACCAGCAGGATGCCCAGGAAGGGTAGGGCCCCAGGCGGGGGCAGCTGCTGGCCTGGCCCGAGCCCGGCCTGAGCTGACCGCCTGGCACCTCCCAGAGGACAGGCCAAAGCTCCAAGAGAGATGCTGAGCCGGCCAGGGGCCAGGACAGTCACCCTGATGCCCCCTGGGGGGCAAGGGGGGTCGGGGGGGTCCGGACCTCCTGGGGACAGCCCCACCCCCCTTCCCCCCAGGAGCCTGCACGGGGGTCTTCCCTTGCCTGAGCAGGGAGCAGGGCCGGGGTCTGCCGGGCCCCCTCCCGTGCCCCCCCTGCAGCCGCGCCCCCGAGCCTCGGCCGGCTCTCGGGCAGGCCAGCGGGGGGCGCCCCGGAGGAGCGGTCGGCGGGTGGGGCCCCGGGCCGGGCGCAGACAGAGGTCCCGGCAGCTCGGAGAGAACGGAGCGGAGCGAGCGGCTGCAGCACCAACACAGACGGCGGGGGCGGGGCGGGAGGGCGGAGGGGCGGGGAATACAAGCACCCGTGTAGCTCAGGGGTCCTCGGGCGCGGAGCTCTCCAGGAAGGAAACGCACATTTCACACGTTAGCCTGGCGGGACCTACGGCCGGCGCTGTAATGGTGGCAGCCTCCGGGCGGCACCCACCTTGGAGCCCCGCTCGTTAAAAATGATCTCCACGTCTAAAATTTTTCCGAATTGCTGCAGAGACAGAGAGGGGGTGGGGAGACAGGGGAGGGTGGGTTAGGGGTGCCGGCCGCCCCTCCCGGCACGCCTGCTTCCCAGGAGACCCTCACCTGCTGCCCGGTCCCACCCAGCCCCCGCAGGCAAGAGGAGGGGCTCCTGGTGTAGCGGGGTCTGGGCACAGGAGACCCCTCCCCACGTCCTCGTGGAGAGGGCTTTCCCTGCCTGAGAGCCGGGGAAGGGGGCAGCCTCCCCCAGAGTCCCTCTCCTCTCCCTGCCTGGACTCTGCCCCAAGTCACTGAGGGTCACCTCTAATTCACCCTAAAGGGCAAAGGCCTACGGAAAGGTTCTTCCCAAACGGTAAGGTTGGGAGGGGGGCGGGAGCCCCCGGGAGAGACGAAGTGCTGTGGAGGGACCCCGTACTGCCGGCAGCCTGGGCTGTGTGGGGTGCGGAACACCACTGACCCCAAACCCCTCCACCTCTCTGGGACGTGCTGGCCAGCAGGCCCAGATGCTGTGCCTCGCCCCTTCCTGCCCCATCACTGGCCCAGGACCCCCAGGGCAGCCCCGGCTCTCTCACTGTCACAGGAGACCACGGACCTGTGAAACCAAATCCCCGCAACCGGGTCCCCAGCGGCCTGTCCTGAGGCCTCCAGTGTGTGTAACTGATGGGTGTCCCCCGCATCCCACAACCCTGGGAGCTGTCAAAAGGGGCAGTGACAGGACACGGAGCAAGACAGCAATGCAATCCCAACTCTGAGGAAGGCTGAAACAGGGAGGACGGTGCCCGGGTGTGGGGACGGGTGAGCCGATGCCCGGGTGTGGGGACAGGTGAGTTGATGCCCTGATTGTGGGGACGGGGTGAGCTAACATCCCAGTATGCAGACAGGTGAGCTGATGCTCCGGTGTGGGGACGGGGTGAGCTGATGCCCCGGTGTGGGGACGGGTGAGCCGACGCCCGGGTGTGGGGACGGGTGAGCCGATGCCCTGGTGTGGGGACGGGTGAGTTGATGCCCTGATTGTGGGGACGGGGTGAGCTAACATCCCAGTATGCAGACAGGTGAGCTGATGCTCCGGTGTGGGGACGGGTGAGCCGACGCCCGGGTGTGGGGATGGGTGAGTTGATGCCCTGATTGTGGGGACGGGGTGAGCTGATGCCTGGTGTGGGGATGGGGTGAGCTGACACCCTGGTGTGGGGACGGGGTGAGCTGATGCCTGGTGTGGGGACGGATGAGCCGACGCCCGGGTGTGGGGACGGGTGAGCCGATGCCCGGGTGTGGGGACGGGTGACCTGACATCCCAGTATGCAGACAGGTGAGCTGACGCCCTGGTGTGGGGACGGGGTGAGCCAATGCCTGGTGTGGGGACGGGTGAGCTGACGCCAGTTGATGCCTGTTGCATGGGGACAAGTGATGGGATACGGACTGAGGGTCCTGGTCTGGGTGAACTCTGTAAGGCGGCTTTCAGCAGGGCCCCAGGCTCGAAGAGGTCGGCAGCAGCCTGGCCCAGGCCAAGAGGAGCTGAATCCTGATGATTCCAAATCCCATCAGCCCCTCACTGTGTCTAAGCCCCACGTGCAATGGGCCCTGGCCTCCAAGAAGGGGGGTGGCTATTTGGGGCAAGGTGTGGGTGCTGAGGCCATCCGAGGCCACCCTCAGGGCACCTCCCCTTTGATGGATCCCATCTGGGCGGTGGGTGGCGTGAAGGCAGGGCTGGGTTCAGGGGCCAGAGACTGCCTAGCTTGTGGCAGGGGTGAGGGTGGGCACTGTGTTGGCCGCAGGGAAGAGGGTTCGGGGTGCGGGAAAAAATGCGGACCAGGCACACGAGGCTTCCGTGGCTGCTCTGTTCTCGGATGAACGGCCTGACCGCCGCCCCCTCCCCCCCATGGGGTTCGGCCCCCAGCACCTAGTGGGCCTCAGCCCCTGCGTGCTGCTCAGGTCAAGCGGCAGGAAAGTAGCCACAGGATGGAAGGCCTGCCCTGCAGGTTCTCATGGCCTCACGGCAGCTGGCCGAAATCCTAAAGCACAAAATCTAGGAACCGACCCGGAGAATCCAGGGAGCCAATCAGCCCGGGCCGGCTTCCCACGGTTGGAGCACTTGCCCAGAGCCCCATGGACACAGGCACAGAGAGGCGGAGTGCTCAGCCCTCAGCACGCAGGAGCGGCAGGGGGCTGAGCTGCCCCTCCAGCTGGCCTCTGAGGGCCCACGGGGTCTGGCACAGGCCTCAGCCCCACGGGGACCCTAAGAAGCCCTGAGCACAGGTGGGGCGGTGTGGGGGGCGGATTTCTGGCTGCCCATCCCGCGGGCTCAGGTCAGAGCAGCGCTGGTCGCAGGAGGCAGTGGGATCCCGGGGACGTGGAGCAGGGGCGGGTGGGGTGGGGGCCGGGATGGAGGGGCCGCACACACTCACCCCGAACATTTGCCGCAGGTCGGGGTCCCTGAACCGGAAGGGGATGTTGGAGACGTGTAGCCGCTTGGGCTGCTGCTTCTCTGTGGGGTCGGAGGGGTGCAGTGGCTGGCTGTCCGTCTGTGCCGCTTCGTCTGTCTGCTGTGGGCAGAGCACCGGGCTGTGAGGTGCCCCTCAGCTCCCACCCGCAGGAGGGGAGGCTCTAGAGGCCAGCTCCCCCAACGCCCTGGGCCTCCCCATCCTGGGGCTGGATTGGGGTGGGGGGTCTGGGCGGGCGATTCTCACTAAGTACAGCCTCGCAACCTCGCAAGCCTCCCCCCGGCAGGCCTCTGCCCGGGCTGCGCTGGCTGCTACCGCGGGGCACGGCCTCCGGGGCTGGGGGTGTCTCCACTCCCCCGGCTCGGCCCTGTCCCCAGAGGTGTGACCTGAACGGTCCCTCAGCTCCACCACCGACTATTATGATTGTCAAAGTCCCAGGTCTGCCCTTTGCCGGACACGGTCTAAGTGCTGGGAGCACGGGGACCCACGAGGCAAGGACCTCTGAGTGCACAGCCCCCGCGAGGATGAGGCCGGGACGGGCGCCGAGGCCACAAGCCTGTGAGGCTCCTCTGGGTGGACTTCTGCAGGGACGGGCCACCATCACCACCCGGCTGGCCGTCAGCCCGGTTCTGTCCCCGCTGAGCCACCGTGCCACAGGCATGCAGTGGGCGCTCCGTCAACGATGGGCCGAGGTGGCCGCTCAGCTCACCGTGACCCGGACGCCGGGCGCTCACGGGGACACACCAGCACCGCCCACCGCCAGCCCCGAGGCTCGTGCTGGCTCAGCTCGCTGGCGGGGCACGTCGGAGTGCGAGTGTCCGGGAGCGGCCCTTAGCCGGTGACAGACACGGCGGGCGCGCAGGCAGCCCGGCACCGCGCCTGGGGCTCCTCCGTGTCCCCGTGTCCCTGGGGGGCCAACAGGCTGAGAACGTGCCTTTCCCTGCTCCTTGCTCGCCTGCCCCAGTTCCCCACTCTTCTGTCAGCGTTTTCTTGGGATCACGTCCCTGGCCCTCTGCTTGGACTCGGAGCCTTGTCCAGGGTCTGCTTCTGGGACTGCGGGACCTTGGCCAGAGGCGTGAGGGGCCCCGAGCGTCTCCGACACGCCTGGAGAGCAGGGGCGGGAGGGTCCCCCGAGGCCCACGCTGGAGTTTGTACGAGGGCCAGTGCTGGTGGCCGTGGCCCCCCACGTGGCCTGACCGGCAGTGACAGGCCGGCAGAGGAGAGACGCCCAGAGTCTGCTTCCCTCGGGTCTCGGAGAACCGTCGCGTTGCTTAAGCCTCTTTCTGGTGGGTTTCCTTGCGGTCCAGCAAAGGAGTGTTGACGGGTACAACAGGCCTCCCAGAGCTAGGACAGGTGAGCAGGGCCAGGCCACTGTGCCCGAGGCCTCCTCCAGGCCGAGGAAATGGAGCCCAAGGGGCGGCTAGTGGCAGGAGGTCTGTCTGCGGACTCCTGAGTGGCTGCCCTCAATGGCCAACCTGTTCATCCTTTCTGGAAGGAGGGGGCTGTTCCCCTACTCCGGCGCTCAGCCGGGAGGCCTCTGACCAGGCTCCCAGGCAGCAGATGCCAGAGGTGAGGGGAGTGCTCGTCATCAGCTCCTGGGCTGGTGAGAGAGGCTGAGCACCTGCTCAAAGGTCCCTTACACTCAAGTCTGCGCTTCTACATTAGGAAGCAGCAACGGTGCGCGATCCCCAGTGTGGCTGGAAGCCACCGTCCTCTTGTTCAACGGGGGCGTGCGTGACCTGTTCCGGTGGGGTAGCCATCCTTTGAGGGGTGGGCCCGGTTCTGACGAGCGTGTGTTCTCGGAGTCCTCCTATCAGGCTGCCAAGTGATGCCCGTCTCAGGCTGGGGCTGGAGGTGATGTAGCACCTGGGCCCGGGGGTCACCAACCGGCCCCAGGAGCCAGGTTACTGGAGCAACCGTGGAGGAACTGCTGGTGGTGGGGGTGGGTGGCAGGTCCACGGAGGCAACACCCGGCAGCCGCCTTTGGGTGCCGCAGGGACACCCGGGAGCTCCTCCTGCGAAGCCGGGACCTGCGAATGCCCAACAGCCCTGCCTGCGCCCCCGTTCTCCTTCTCCCTTGGTCCCGCTCTTCCGTGCAGACAGCAAGCTCGCGCTAGACCTGCAGAAGCTCGTCTGCGCCCCTGAATCCAAGCAGAACCCGCCGCGCACCTGCTGACTCTCCCACCCTCTGGTAACGACCAAGTGTGGCTCTTCCCGTGCAGTGGTCAGGGTGCCCTCTGTCACCATGCCCCCACCCAGGGCATTTCACACACCCGATCCCTCCGCGGCTCCTGGGTACAGATGACTAAAGGAGTCACCCTGAATTTGGGAGTTCAGCCCGAGAGGGGCGTGTAATGCTGACTGTGGACCAGCAGAGGGCAGCGGTCAGCTCGGCCAGCGCACCCGGAGCACCCGGGGAGCCCTGGGCGTTGGGGACCGTGCGGGGCCGCTGCCCAGGCAAGCGTCCGGGGCCTCCCGAGCTTCCCTTCTGCCTTGGGCCCACTGTGAGTCTCCACATCCAGGCCCACCCCCCCCGCCGTGCTCCAGACCCCTCGGTAGAAGCCTTGGAGGGGAGCCAGCTGAGGGCAAGGAGGGGGAATGGGGTGTTGGGGGGTCCTGTGGAATGAATTGTAAGTGGGGCCAGAGCACAAGCAATCGGAAGGAGCCCCCTCGCCCCCCAGCACAGCTACGGACAGAGGCAGATGAACGGGTTCGGTGACTGTAAAATCGTAAGATGTGTGGAGAAACCCCCAGGGTTAACAGCCTGGTGGAGAGAGGCAGGGGTGGGGAGGGGGCCGGCCTGAGAGGCCTTTCCCTGGGACTCCCCTTGTCTTTTCTCTCTCTCTTTTAAAGCAACCTCTGCCCCCAGTGCTCAAAGGCAAGGAAGAAGAAAACAACAGTGACCTACCCTACCCCCCACCAGTCTCAGTCACCCCTCCCCTCCCCCAGCTGGCCACAGGAGCTTTGCTTCTGCATCCTTCTCCTTGTCCCTGTCACCTTAGCCATCATGCCCCCTCCCCCCACTCCCCATTCAAGGCCAGGACCTGACCTCTGGTGGACCAGGGGCAGGGCCCAGATGTGCCCAGCACATCCCCCACCGTCAGAGGAGCCTACAGCCCCCGTGCCTGGGCCTCCCCAAGCTCACTTGGCACAGGGAGAGGCCCAGAGAGCCCTGGGCAGGGGCTCATGGCCGGAGGGTCTGGCAGGGGCTCGGGCAGCAGGATGGCCTCATGGCTGGATGGAGCCAAGGCTTGCTGATATGACAAGAGGAAGAGATCCTGGAAATGTTTCTCTGCAGCCCCTCACGCCTGCTCCCCCAGAGGCTCCTGGGCACGCGTGTAATGACCATCCGCTGCTCGCCAGACGTGGCTCAGCCCTGCTGGGTGGCCAGTGTGCCTGGGAGAGGCCATCTCCACGTGCGGCCTTGAGCCGTCTGTTTATGACGATGTCTTCGCCATAATGGGCAGCCCCTCCTTGGGCGGAGCTGTGTGCTCCCACTTCGGACTCTGAGCGACAGAATATTCTAAGAGCTCTCTGCCGGCCACGCACCTGTTGCGCTGATGCTGACCGAGTGTGTCTCCTGCCTGCACCTGGCCGGGCAGCATGGTGGGGGCGCACAGCTGGGTCTCACCCCCGGTGGTGGGGGAGTGGGTGGGGGGGCTGGGGGGTGCTTTCCATCTCGCACTGTGGCCTTTGGTCCCCTTTGCGCTGGCACCTGCTAGCTGGGGAGGGGAGAGGCCCAGGGGACAGGCCCTGGGAGGTGCAGGGCACAGAGGAAGAGGGGGAGAGTGGGGGTAGCTTCTGAGTGTAGAAGCCCCTCTGGCTGTCCCGGGATTCGGGGAGGACAGGTGGGTGGGAGAGCACCTGCAGGGGACCTGCATGACCTTGAGTGAATGAGCACTCTGGGGAGGTGGTCCCCAGCCTGTGTCTGTGGGTCCCTGCAGAGTAGTGAGGAGGGCCCCGATCCATCAGCAGCCGCTGTCCCACACGGCACCTCCTGCCGCTTCTGCCAGAGATGACGAACGAATCCACACGCAGGAGAGAGCAGGTCTGGACAGAAGCTGTGGCCCTCACCCCCTGCTGCCCTGTACCTCCCCACCCGGACCCCAGGCTGCCGGGGTGGGGAGGGCCGAGAGGAAGCTTCGGTGAGCTGAGAAGCCTTCACGCAAGGATGGGACATAGGACAGCTGACCCGGTGTGGAGGTGTTCAGCTTTAGCTGGGAGCACTGGGCAGCTCTTCTGGGAAGAAGGTGGCTACTGGAATCTTAGAGCAGGATGGGGTGCCCTCGCCCTCTCCGGCTCCTCCCGAGGTGGCACACGTGTGCTTGTGTTGGTACCCAGGCTCTGAGCTCCCATGCTGTCCAGCGGTGGCCAGCGTCTTTGCCTGGGTGTCTTCGTGTCCTCTGCATCTCCACATAAGCCTGCAGAGGCTCATCTGGCCCCGGGCGTGGCCAGGAACGGTCTCTCCTCTGTCTCCCCGGATGGAAGACCCACAGACCCTGACGTGCCTGCAGGACTTGAAGAGACCCGGGCTGGTCGAAGGAAGGTCAAGGCGGCCCCGTTGACCAGGCTTGGGCGCAGTCGGGCCCAGGCGCTTTCCTCGGGAGGCGCTTGGCCAGAGAGGTGAGACTCCCACCTCTCAGTTGGGACAAATCCTTTCTGGGACTCCTGAGTCCCCTCCGGGGCCCCTATTTTGTCACAGGCATGGAGGCCGTGACTGGCCCCTGTTGACTTTTAGGTCCCTGCCAGGCGGGAACTGGTGGCCACCACAGGGCAGGGCTGGTCATCTCTTCCCTGGACCCCCCCGTGCTGGTTCAGTGTGTGGCACACAGTAGGGTCCCCACGACCATCGGCCAAGGGGAGGAAGGCTTCATGCTCTTCGCGGTCCAGCCGCACCTGGCACTCCGGTGTCCAGGAGGTCTCCCGGCTCGTTCTGTGGCGCAGGCATTCGCTGTCGCCTCTCCCCCGTGGCACCTGCCAGTGTGACCGCCTTGTCTCCTGCACTTGATCCAGGGCGAATTCCCGGCCTCACCCTTTGTTTGTGAGGAGGCCTTGTCATGGGAGCTCTGGCCAGATACACCCTGTCCGCCGGAGCCCTTCCGAAGGACACCGTCCACCGGCCGTGATGCGGTCACGCCGAGCGCTTCCGGCTCTGCTCTGAGCACACCCATGCCGTGGGTTTGAGGAAGCCGAAGCAGAGGCAGAGCGGCCCCAGAAGCACAGTTCGGCTCCCAGTTTGAGGGCCCGTAGGCCTTGCCTCTTGCAGCTGCAGGAACCCCGGGTGGGGGGTCTACGGGTCTATGGGAGACTCCCCACACTGGGACGTGGGGAATGGAAGAGGTCTGACTTCACTGGCGGTGATCCACACGGGGCAGAAGCGCACTGGCTGGGCCCCACATGAGGGGCCGGTCCAGTCCAGTGGGCAGCTTGGGTGGGCTCTCTCCCCAGAGAGCTTGGGGGCTGCTGTCCACACCGGGAGGGTGGGTGGTATCTGGGTCCACAGGGCACCCCGGGAGCCAGCCGGAAGGGCGGCTGAGGGAGCACGGAGGGGGGCGCCCATCGGGAAGCTGCTGGCCTCCTGCCCAGCCCCGGCCAGCCCGCACTGGGAGGGAGCCAGCGGGGACAGCTGAAGCCCGGGAGCTGAGGCAGGGGTGGGCACACGGAGACCACGATGGGGAGGAGGGCCGGGGAAGGGGTGGGGCCGGCTGGCGGGTCCCCAGGAGAGGCTGCGTCGTGGGACGCCCACCCCGGGCCGGCCGCCCCTGGCCACGCTCCTCTGCTGTCTGGGAGCCTCTGGGAAGTGTGCGGCTCAGCACTTTCTCCTTGAAGCCGCATTACAACCACATAAGTGAGGCTCTCTGATTGGAGAGCAGCCAAGCAGGTAGATTACGCGTGATTAGAAATGATCGCCGTGCCCGCCACCCGAGACACGCGAGGGCCCCTGAGCCTCCTCTCCCGTCGCCCTGCCCCCGCCTGTGCAGACACCCGGGCCCAGGCCACACCGTTTCCCTCACCTCCCAGGGACGGGTTGCTGGCGGCCCAACTGGGAGGCTCCGCTCAGGGGGTCGGGCAGCCATCGGGGTCACCAGCCACCCCGTGCCTGGTGTCACATGAAGAGCTCCAAGGCGGCAAGGACCTGCCTGTCCATCTCAGAGGCCCCCCCCGGCCCCTCCCCCTGCGGGCCCTCACTGCCCCGCCAAGCCTCCTCTCTGGGCGGGCACTGCTCCCTGAAACTCTGGGCTCGCGGGGCCCCTTACCGGCACTGTCTGGGCACCGGCGATGGGCTGTGTGCTGGCCTCGGTGCCCGGCTGCTCGGGGTGGGTCTGTGCTGGTGTGTACAGGGTCAGGCCGTGCTCCGGGGGGACCGGGGTCTGGCCCGAGTAGTCCTGCGTGGGATGCGGAGGGGGTGGTGCGTACTCGGCGGGGATGCCGTTCTGTGGCGGAGGGGGGTACTGGGCAGGGGGGTAGGGCTGGGCCATCGCTTCAGGCGGAGCCGTGGCGTCCTGATTGCCCTGCGGAGGGAAAGAGAGCAGGCTGGTTAGACGGCTGGCAGGCCCGGACCGTGCCCCCTTTCGAGAGCTCGCAGGCCGGAGCGGGGGTCTCCAGAAGCATGGCCCAGACCCTCTGGGTGGGGGTGGGGGGCTCCCTGACATGAGGCACCAGATCTAGCCGTTGGAGGTGCCTGGGGAGCCCAGGGCTTGAGACCACCGACGCATACTTTCAGACCCACATTAAGCTCGTGCAATTTTAAGAAGTAACACCGTGTGATCCCGTGTACCCTCTACCCAGTTGATCCTGTCAAGATAGAGAACATGCCAGCAGCATGGGGGTCCCTCCTGTCTCCCCTAGAGCCACGCCCTCCTCCCTCCTGCCTTATGAAGGCTTCAAGCCCTGCTTCTTCCCATCGGTAAAGTGGGAGATCATCACACCTACAGGGAAGATGATCAAAGTTGATCCCACAGAACTGGGAGCCTGGCACCACAGGGCCCCCATCATGGTCCCAAAGCTGAGGTGCTGTCTGTGGGGCATGGAAGGTTCCAGCTCTGTCTTGAGAGCCCCGAGCAGATCTCCAGAAGACCCCAGCCCGTCCCTGAAGGCCTGCTGCCCCAGGGGCTTTTAGAAGCCAGGGCCCTGGGGCAGGGTCCCAGCGACGTGGCAGGGCAGAGGCTCTTCTCATGGGGTGCTTGGACCCAGAAGCCTCACCTGGGAGCTTGTCGGCAATGCACACCCCAGACCTCCTGCAGCAATCTGGGCACCTGTGGGAACCCCTGCTGTAGCCCTGGGAGAAAGCCCCTCAGCCCCAGAGAAGGGACGAGGGTCCTCATGCTGTCAGGGTGAGGTGGGGTACGGGTGGGGTCCTGGCTTCTCCCACTTGTTGTTCCCCATTGAGGATACATGCCGGGAGGGAGGGCAGGTTTGCAGCAGCCCCTCTGAGCAGGTGAGGCACTCTCTGACCTTCCGAGGGTGTCCTCGGGAGAGAGTGTCCCCACCATCTGGAAGGACAGGTGCCATCCCTCGCTTGGCTATCTCCCCAGTGTGGAAGGACTCTTGCACAGACGTGGATAGTCTCACCAAGGAGGAACCCCACGCACTCCTGCGCTGCCCCCGTCACCCTGGTCTTGGCATGTTTTGAGGTCTGTTTCCTTGCCCATGCCCCAGTGAGATGGGGGCTCCTTCCAGAGAACATGCCTGGTCTTGCTCTGTTCTTCATCGCTTACTACTTATTCACCCCACAACTGTTTATCGTGTGTCTGGGGGGCGGGGTGCCAGGCCCGTGGCTCTGGCAGGGAGTGGTGCAGGATGGGCAGCCCCCAGCCTCTGTGGGCTCTGCCATCCAGGGCAGGAGTGAATGCAGACAACTACCCAGAGCACAAGGTGACCTGAGGGGTCTGGCCTCCTGAGAGTGCTGGTGAATGTGCACAAAACCTGGGCTGGGTGTTCTGCCTGCAGCCCAGGGCCCTGTCCCCCACCGACCGACCTGTCCGCCTGCCCAGCTCCCTGCTGGCAGGAGGCCTGAGGCCAACTCTCTGCCAGGGGTCCCAGCCCCTTTAAACCCCCAGAGCTAGCCCCTGCTCTCACTGCCCCTAACTCCTGGGGTGACCTCCCTGCTGAGCAGTGGCCTCAAGAGCAGAAAATTCTGTGCTACCCTCTGTCTGCAGAGCCCGAAGCTGGGGCAGCATCTGAGCTCCAGGCGGTGGGAGGGAAACACGTGTGTGCATCACACACGCTCATGAGTGCACGCCCTTTGCTGGACTCCCACCCCCCACCCGCTTCGAAGTAGCCCACAAAGTCCCATTACCTACTGGGCGGGAGAAGGGGAGGGTGCAGGGTGAGGAAGGGGGTGGTTGGGGGAGGTGAGAGGTGGTGGAGGCAGAGGAGCACCCAGTGGGGGAGGGACAGAGGCCAGGGCAAGGGGTGAGGGAAGCGGGAGGGAGGAGGAGGAGGGTAAGGGAGAGGGCGCTGTCAGCAGCCTCGAGAGATCAATTAACTGATAAATATTTGATTAGAACCTTCACCAACTCACATCTTCCCAGGGCCCCCACTTCCCCCCTCCTCCAGGGCCCAGGAAGGAGGGGCTCTTCTATCTGCTTGTTCCAACCCCACCCCCACCCCTCCCCAGCACCCTCTTCCCTGGGTCCCCTCGGGACTAGTGACAGCCGCTACTCCCACCGCAGTGTCTCCCTGGGCTGGAGTGCAGAGCCCAGACCGCCAGGGAACCTACAACACAATGGTGGGATGGCAGGGTGGTGGGTTTGGGGCTCAAGTGCCCGCGTCTGAAGGGGTCTGGGTGGGCAGGAGGCAGCTGGGAGATGGGGCATCCAGGGCCCTTTGGGACATGATAATAAATCAGCACATCTGAGCACAGAGAGCTCTCTGCTTTGCACACTAACTCACTGAATCCCCCTCCAACCCACCAGGCGATCAATAGCGCCCATTTCACAGCTGGTCAAACTGAGGCACAGGGACTGAGTGACTTGTCAGGCTGATATGGGAGGAGCGGGGATAGCAGCACAGATTGCCTGGCTCTCAGACCTTCACCTCTGCTCCTGCACGCACCCCCTTCATGGGGGAACTGGGGGTGTGAAGTTTCACAGCCCAGGGACAGAGTTAGAGCCTGGGATACACAGGGAGGGCTTCCCTTAGCCACCGGGTGGCCCTGGGTGACCATTCATTGTCTTTGAACAAATTCCCTCATCTGCAAGAGGTCATCACGGTGCCCGGACAGAGAAACGCAGAATAAAACCTAGCTAGTGTGATCTGGTGCGTCGTGGGGGAGATTCTCATCACCCCTGCCTGTCTCCTCCACATCCACGCTGGAGGTGGCTGTGCTCAGGTGAGTGGCCCGCACCCTGGCTGCACATCCCACGCCTAGACCCCTCCCCAGGGCAATTGAGTGGATTTAGGATCAAACTTTCCCATGAGGTTCCTCTGTGCAGCTCGGGCTGAGGGCCCCTGGACCAGCCTTGGACGGAAGAGCAGAGGGTATCAGGTGCACCCGAGGGCGTGAAGCGCCTGACACAGAGAGGGCAGCATGGCTAGTGCTGTCACATTCCTTTTCATCTTTCTTCCTTGGTCTGCTGGGGCCAGAGTGGAAGAGAGGCTTGGGCTCTGCGGCATGAGCCGAGCAGACTCCTCCTGCTAGGCTGGGGCCTCGTCTCAGCTGGCCTTGTTTCAGAGCAGCTTGTGAACATGTCTGGCTCCCCAGGGGACTGGAAATTCCCAGAACACGAGGGCCACTCGCTCACTCTCTGCTCCCACATCCCTGCACTCAGCACAGCACTTTGCTGCACTCAGAGAAGAGTCTCAATGCACATCAGATGAATGGATGTGTGCATGGATGGATGGTGGATGGAAGAATGGTGGATGGAGGGATGAATAGACAGACCAATGGACAAATAGGCAGATGGATGGATGGGTAGATGGATGGGTGGGTGGATGGATGGATGGATGGATGGATGGGTGGATGGGTAGATGAATGGATGGGTGAATGGATGGATGTATAAATGGATGGGTGAATGGATGGATGGGTAGATGGATGGGTGGATGGATGGGTGAATGGACGGATGGATGGCTGGCTGGCTGTATGAATGGATGGGTGGATGGCTGTATGAATGGATGGGTGAATGGGTTGATGGATGGGTGAATGGGTGGGTAGACGGATGGATGGATGGATGGATGGATGGGTGGGTGGGTGGATGGGTGGATGGATGGTGGATATATGTATGTATGAATGTATGTATGTATGTATGCACGGATGGGTGAATGGGTGGATGGATGGGTGAATGGGTGGGTGGATGGATGGAGGGATGGATGGATGGAGGGATGTATGTATGTATGAGTGGATGGATGGATGGATGGGTGGATGGGTGAATGGGTGGGTGGATGGGTGAATGGATGAGTAGACAGGTGAAGAGATGAGTAGTTGGATAGTCATTATTCCACTTCCTCTACAAATTTATTCCTCTCTCCTATCATCACATTTTCCTGATAGGACTGATAAGATCCAGCTCTTCCCACTGCACTCCATGGCCCACACTGCTGGAGAAAAACATAAAATCACCCTGAAGATTCACTTGAGATCACTGACCACTGACTGAAGCAGTTTCCTTGTTTCCTGTTTTCTACAGAAAACAGAGGAGAATGTCCACACTCACCTGATGGCCTGCCTGCCTTATATCCTAGAGCCCCGTCCTTCTCACCAATGCATGTTCACAGCTCTGCTGATTCGCTGCAATCTCTCCCATGACAGGTCCAGGAGAACCCCCTGGAACCAACGGCCCCTTCAGCCTACACACCCAATTCACTGCTTCCCTACAGAACAAAGTTTCTGGAATGAGCTGCCTTGATCTGCAACCCCCAATTCCTTTACTCCCACTCTTTCTTAGCCCCACTCCAAACTGGCTTTCCCTGGCACCATTCCCTGAAACTACCTTCGTCAAAGTTCCCATGTCTGCCATGTTGAAAACCTCACCGGACCTGGTCCCTCAGCAGCACTGACTCTTCTCTCTAGAAACACTTTCCTCTCTTGGCTTGGTCACACCACACTCCGTTGGTTCTTCTGCTTTACTGGAAGTTCTTCTACATCTGTGTTACCGTTTCCTCATATCTCCCCAACCTGTAGATGTTGAAGGCCCCCAAAACCCAGTCTTTGGACCCTCTCTGATGTGGCTAGAACTAAGGTTCTTAGTTTCAATTTAAAAATACCATCTGCATGTTGACCATCCCCAAGTTGTGTCTCCAACCTGGGCTTCTCCCCAGAATTCCAACTACAGCCAGCCATCTGCACACCTAATACATAATTCGAGCTTGACCTACCCCTGAGGGGACTCCTGCTTCCTTCCTCGTTGTCCCCATCAAATTTGCCTCTCTTGAGGTGCCCCCCTGCCCACAGGCCAGTGCTCAGCCCCTCACCTGGGGTGATCCCTCTCTTTTTGTCCATTCCAAACAATCAGGCAGGAAGTCCCATCAGCTCCACCTTCAACATGTACCCAGAACCCAACCATCTTGGCCA